TGGAAAAACCATGGGGGGCCAGTTTTAGGGTTGCTTTTGGGAAACTGCTCCCGATCCGGGAGAGGCTCGCTCTTCCAGGCATGGCAAGGTCAACCAGGTTCGTCGGCGGTGATGCCACGCTAGATCGACTGGGTGCAGCAGACTGGAAAGCCCTGAAGTACCACTCAGAACCGTGCCAGAGGTATGTAGCGGCCATCGAAGAAGTGGTAGGATCAGGAGACAACCTGGGAATTATAGCCGTGTTGGAACTGTTGACTTTCGTGGTGCTAGCTTCGGCCCAATCGGCCACCTGGAGGAATGAAATGATCCTGTACGTGACGGACAACGCCAATGTGAAATCATGGCTCTCAACCCGTCGAGCCAGAAACAGGTATGTGAGGGCCCTACTGCTCCTTCTCCAAAGACTCGAGGCGGAATTCAGCTTCACGGTAGAAGGAGTTTATGTAAGAACCTATCACAATACTCTCAACGACTGGCTTACCCGGGAAGATCAGATCCAAGTCGAACAGTCCATGGCACGATCCGGGTGGGAGAAGCTTGCCCTGGTCGAGAACTGGGAAGAGCTCCTGCGCTCCGCACAGCGACCATCGCTCCGGTTACCAGGGGAAATTGGGGACAGTGCTAACCTCGCCGCGCAGCTGGCAACAAGCGCATCGGTGCCCCGTTCGTTCGAGGTGCCAGCACAAAGCGGCAGTTTTGTGGGGACCCTAGCACAAGTGAAGGTCGCTCCGACCATGTTAGCCTCGTTTGAGGTCGCATGGGCCCGGGGCGGGGGGTCGGTCGCCGGTGAAGGTGAGGCTGAATGGCTAGCCTGTTCACTCAGCCATGATCCAAGAAGAGCTGAGATCTCACGGTTAATCGAAGTTTTGCAGGGCAGAAGGAAAAATCCTCCCAGAGGCGTCCTGCTTGACTGTCCAGGGGACTCCCACCTTCAGTTCCCTGAAGAGCTCATCTCCGAGCTGGGGAACTTCATGACAGCACACTACCAGACCACCCATTTGGGAGCGTTCGCAGCGAGGAAACGGGTCGCGTGCTGGTGGGGTGAAGCCAAACCAGTTGAAGGGGAAGTCGAGGCGATGCGAATCCGGGAGGTCAACGCCTGCTGGTTGCTGCCCTTGAAACCCTTCAACCAAGCCACCAATTTACTCCAACCCCCGGAATGTATCTTCACTCGGGATCCAAATATCGTGACCACCGGGGAGCCTTGGCTCCCTAAACCAGTAGGACACCTCCTTGAGAAGTCCACCGGGGAGAGACACCTGGTGCATAGCCACAGAGGACCAGCATGTGGGCCCAGGCTCCGGGGTTCATGCTGAGAGCCAGTGAACTCTTGCCGCATGGCGATGGATCAGACCCGCTAGATCGGGCGATCCGCCCAGCCGATGTTGCCTTCTATAAGGGGGGTCAAGCCTGTTTGGGGACAGTAGCAGATGAAGTGGTGATCCAAGTCAGGTCCTCCAAGACAGACCAGTTCGGTCGTGGGCAAGCTCGTTCACACCACCGATCCGGTGGAGATCTGTGTCCGGTCGAGGCTTTGGCTACACTGCAAGCACTACAACCTCATCGCTGGAGAGGTGCGGAGCTTGAAAAGCCGCTGTTTCGGTACGCGGACCGATCCGGTCTCGACCGAGAGGGGATAGCCCACCTAATTAAGGTGGCAGCACTGGCTGCGGGATACCCAGGGGAACTTGCAGGGTCTCATTCACTCCGCAAAGGGGGGGCCACGGCTTTCTTCGCATCTACCGGGGACCTTGAGAGGTTGAAGAGATACGGGGGCTGGACCTCTGATGCCGTTCATGCATATTTATATGAGGACCACACAGCCCAGATAGGCATCTCCCAAGGCATGATAGGCAGCAACGTCATCACCTTGCCTAGTCAGAAGGCTCAGGCTGCCGATCGCCCACCCGTTGGAAACCACCAAGATCGGTCTGATCTCAATCGTGGGACTCTAGGCTCGAGATCTTTGTCTTGGGCCCCAGACCGACGAGTGTCCTTCTGCGAACGTGCTGGAAGCTGCGTCATGGAAGCAATCACACCTCTTTTTCAGACACAACCCGGATCTAGACCTGCATCGACTCCTCGGAGTCAGGCGAGGGGCCAGTACGCCCGAAGTGCTCAAGGCGTTCCGAATGAAGGCAAGAACGTACCATCCAGACAAGCTCAGCCACTTGCCGACAGAAGAGCAGGAAGAGAAATCCGAAGAGTTCAAGAGGATGTCAACCGCTAGGGATATCCTTAGTGACCCACTGATGGCCGAGCAGTTCCGTCAGTGGCAAGCGGAGAGAGCGGCAGAACTCGCCAGAGCCAGGGCGAGGGCAGCAGCAGTAGCCCGGGCAGCACCAGCAAGGCCAGGGGCAACCAGAGCCTATAACCCCCGGAATAACGAGGATGAAGGGCAGGCTCGGGGATGCTATGCACAACAGGCTAGGAAGGAGCCTTCCTCGTCTTTTCGGGAAGCTCGAGACTTCTTTGAATCGAGATCCACTACTCCACCACCGGGTCCGCAGGCAGAGCACCAACCGACCCAGCCCAAGCCAGCATCCAGGTTCCCACCATCCTACAGTGTTCCGAGACCGAATGCCCCTACGGCTGATCCAGCCGGCCCAGCTGCCACAGGATGGGGACCACAACAGCAAACAGCTACAGCTGGTCCAGCCAGTTCAACCGCACAAGGACCAACGCCAAAGCCGACCTCGAGGTTCCCCCCAGCAGAGAACATGCCAAAACCTTCGCCTATGTCGGAGGTCCCACGCCCATCGTCCAACTACCACCAATGGGCGCCGCCAAAACCCCCAGGCTACATGCCACCTCCAAGGGATGAGAGATTGCCCAGGGCGAAGACGCCACCCAAAGCTGGTCTGAGAAAGCCACCACCTCCTCCACCCAGCGACTTCCTACCACCAAAGCAGGAGGGAGGAGGAGCAGCGGGTCTGAGGAAGCCACCACCTCCTTCGCCCAAGGACTTCATCCCACCAAAACAGGAGGAGAGAGGGACCGCAATCGGTCGGAAGGCGCCGCCACCAAGCTTTGTTCCGCCAAAGGCAAAGGGGTCAACACCCTCAGGCGAGCCAAGAACACCAGAGGAAAGTGTAGGAGGAACTCCCAGGCATTTCGAGCGGTCCGCTCAAGCATACCAAACCAAAGGAATGCGGGAGGACCTACGGGCCCCCAATGCCGAAGAAGGAGAAGGGCCCTTCCGACCCTCCGGGCTGTTTGAGAGAAATCCCCAAACTTACCAGGGAGAAGGAACTCAGAACAAGCAAGATATCCGGCCCGAGGCGGCCCCCATGGAGGTGGACCAAGGAGCCCGGAAAGGGGCCAGCCCAGCTGCGCTGTGGTTGGGAACACCAGAGCCCGGTGACCATGCGGACAGGGTGGAAGACCCCTCGCAGGACTATGCGCTGGTCAACGTAGACCCGGACTCCGAAGATGACTGGCATGATGTGGTCGATCCGACCAGTTGTGATTGGCCAGAGGTCAGCCAGAACTGGGATGAGGAGAACACCACGGATGGTCTCCAAGGGGATCGAAAGGAAGCAAATGATGCCTTCAACCAGAAAGCACTGGATGCAGTGAAAAGCTTCCTTTTCCACTACAACAACCAAAAGCTGAGGCAGCAGAGGAAGACCCTAGCACCCATCCCAGAAGTCGAGACTCCATTGCCGACAGCCGTCAGGGAAGACTGCTTGGGCGGTGGATCCCCAAGGATCAACCTTGCCGAGATGGTCTTCCCGCCCGCCTGGGAAGCTATGACGTCCAGGGGAAAAGATCCGAGGAGCTACGCAAGGCCCAAAAGAGCTGTCAGCAAAGACACTAGGGATGAAGATGCCCCCATGGCAGAGCCGCCTGCAAGAGACAGCGGGGAAAGCCCCGCCAAGGCGCCAAAGGTTGAGGAGACGAGGGACCAAGCCATGACGGGGGGGACCCCACCACCGGCTGGTCCAGCCAGATCAAGCCCGACCGCTCCGGTCGAGACACCTTTCTTCTCCTCAGAAGAAGTCGACTGGGGAGATCAGGAGGACGATCGAACTCCAGAGGAGTTTCAACAGGATATGGATCTCCTGAAAGAGATTGGTGATCGCATGGAAGCATACCTGAGGGCGCCTGCAGAGGTCAAAGCAAAGATGAGGGTTTCATCCTGGCAACGATGCACCGAGTACCTGAAGTCCCTGCAGCTGCGAACGGACGAAGCTCCTCCACCCACCAAGCCAGGCAAGTTCGCAGCCGACATCCGGATGGGTTTCTCGCCAGAAGAGGCGAGGATCCGACATAAGTCGCGGCAAAGGGCGGCCAGGCATCACCAACAGCTCGCACGAATGGAGGGTTGCACACCAGCTGATATGCCGAGGTCTTGGGATCATCCAAGACCCCCCACTTTGGAACCCGGCTATCTTGCGAGAAAGGAGGCCGAGAGGGCGCAGAGAAGAGCCCAGCGCACCGCTGATTTGAGGACCAACCCCCCAAGATAGTGCAACGGCTGCTCCAGCTGATGAGCCAAGCCACCCTCAGAACCAAGATGAATGGCGATGGAATCAGCAGAGCTACGACAGCCACCAGCAATGGCAGGGATCGAGCTGGGCTGAGGAGCAGTGGAGAAACTGGCGATCCGCCGGATACGGCCAAGAGTGGAACCAGCAGTGGCACCAACAGAACTGGCAGCCAGGCTGGAAAACTGGAGGCTGGCAGCAGTGGCAGTAAAGCCCTGAGTGAGCGGTTGCCGGAAGCTCCTTCCGGAATTCATTTGAGGTGACCTCAAGACCAGTACAGAGTCCTGGGGTCGCAACATGCAACTCCCAAGGGGGGAATGACGGGCGAAGCCCTGTCAGACCTCTGGGCTGTGGTACTGACTCAAGTGCAACACAGCCACGACAAAAGGAGTCGCATTGCATGCGCTTCGCATTTTGTTTAGCAGCTTGAGTTTAGCTAACATGTCTCCTATTTGGGCCATCAACCAATCCATCTCACCATCGCCACGAAGGCCCTACTGCCCTACCTACCTCCGCGCCATGTGGCATCCTCCTTCACGTCAAGGGCCATGCTTTGGCCGCTCATCAGCATCACCTCCAGCTTCATGGCGAGGCGGCGGATGCTCTCGCCGCAGGCGGGCCATTTTTGGCTGCGGGAACATCGGTTGGCGGGCTGGTGGAAGAGATGCGGTGCATGTGTGGAAGAGATAAGTTTCCAAATATCTTGTGCCAGCTGATCCATTTTAATGAAGGAGCCTGAATTTGTCTCTCATCTACGTAATGAGGACGGCCCTTCTGCTTTCCAATCCCACAGAATACGCCCCGCACTCTGCCCGAAACTCACGCAAGAATACACAAGACCCAGCCTTCGCAACACCCATGGCACAGTTGCAGGGGTTTCGGGGCCCTTGCTGTGTTTGTATGACTTGCTTTCGCCTGGCCTGTCAGGTGTAAAAGTCTGGCCCTTCGACAGAATGCACGGCCCCCGACTTGGACAGGGCCACTGATGGCGTGCCAGAATTGGAAATATGCGAGTACACATGAGTCTGTGCAGAATCACGAGATCTCAAAGCAGTGCACCAGCAGGTCCTCTTAGTCAGGGTCACCTGCTTGCATCCCTTTCCTTCGCGTTTCTGGGTAATGAGGTAATGGTTCCTTGAGCCAACTAATCTGGAATCACGCAGCACGACCTTGTGGCATTCAAGGGCTTAACTGAGTGATCTGGTGACTTAGAGCATGTTTACCAGATCCGAGCGAAAAAATAATCCTCGGATGCGCCAAAATCCTTCTTCCCCAAGCCTGCCACTGGTACTTACCCGGGAACATTAACATGGAACCTCAAAAATGCACCATTGGAAGACTATTCTCCTCTACAACCCAGTGGTTTTGGGGGTCCATGTAGGTCTCTTCCAGCTGAGCAACGCTGGGTGCCGCAAGGCGACGAATCCTGGAGAGACGGATGCGCACCCCTCGTGCGGCACAGAAGGTGGGGCCCTTAAGGGGCAAGTGCTTGGCAACCTCTGCTGCACCACCGCGCTGGCGCGGGCAGGTGAGGGTGTGCCATCGGAGCAACAGCCAAAATTGTAGATCCATTGATTTGGAGAGGAAGGGAGGAGAAAACAAGAAAGAGCTGTTCAGACCCTTTCACCAAAACAGGTAAGGATTTGGGTCAAAGAACCTTGACCAAGTCGCCCAACACACCACCAAGTCGACCACCCAGTCTGACGCCACGTGTGGCGAGCTGAGCGCCTAGTGGTGAAGAGTTGGATGTGCTTTCAGTAGTGAGGCCAAATCCGTCTTGGACCCAGGTACTACTGACCACCCGGGTGGTGCTTCCTGCATGAAGATGCCAGTGTCTAGCTACAAGGACCAGCAAAAGTGGACGTAGATGACCTCAAAAGAGGATATTGCTCGGTGCGGTGTATCATCACGCGGTCCTCGGCCTACAATCCGCGCCTTCGGGCCCGTTATGCATCCCTAGATCTAGAAACCTTCAGGTGTCATTGACCCACAAAGGGAGCATGTTGATCTAGCACAACGCTTGCCATCCCCAACAGGCTCCTGCCATCTCTCGCGGGTCCTGCGAAGAGAAGCAGGAGGAAGGTTGTGCAGCATGTCCAGGGCGGTGTTCCATGCTCTCAAGAAAGATATTTTACACGTAAAAAACCCTAAAATCGAAGGCACTTTCCCTTTTCCCGGAAATCACCCGTGTGACACGCCAATTTTTTGCGTCAGGTGTTGAGCTTGTTCACGGGCAACTCCCCTGTATTGGATCAGTGGGTGCCTTACTCAACCAACGCATGCACAGAGCCAAGCCGTCTCTCCATGTCCAATTCCAATTCTAGTGGGGTGTTGTCGCACCCTCGGATGAAGCGCTTGTCCCTGCAACTTTCTCTCTCCCCAAGGCACTTACCCAGCCTTCTCGTGTGATTCCACGGGTTTCCGCGGCGACAAATGGGCTCCAAAAAGCTGCGGGGCGGCTCTCAAGGACAAGTCTCCTGGAAGTGAAAATCAGCTATTGCACTATAGAACATCAGTGGAAGGTGGAAGGGAATCAAAAAAGGCAGGTTGCTACGCTCTTTGGGCTTCTGTCCTGTGAGAGTCCGAGAGCGTGGACTCTAAACCGAGTCCTACTGCTGTCTGATGGGGTGGCTGAGTTCCAAAACCATGGCAAACATGACCCCAGAAAGTCTCCAAGAACTAACTCCCAAGAACCAGACCTCGAAACCCCTATAAGTATGTTCGTCTTCTTGTTGTCATGGTCATGTCTACCCCTCCGTGTTGGCAGGTCTATCAACCACTAGCCGTCACCACCCCCTTCTCCCACAGATTTCCAAGAAAAACGGCTCAGCTAGGAGGTCCATGTCAGGGTGGCCCACAGCGTCGACTCACGTGCAAAAACGGGGACTCAAAACCACTGAAGACCATGGAGCTGCTGGAGAAAGACGATCTTAAGTGATCATCTCCCAAACGCCCCAGACCGTGGCATCCATTCATTGATGAGTCTATTAAGCTTAAACGTATCAAGTGTCTTTGTGTGACAATACTGATGTGTTCCAACTTAGTATTGGTCCATTTGCAACATAAATTCTATCATTGGGATATCAGCATCGATTATAGTTTAACGAGAAAGTATTAGATCGACCTCCTCATGTTCAACCAACAACATCAACCAACCATCCTTTCGGCGAAACCGGGGGCGCCCCGGCTGGCTGGACATGGAGTTGCAAAAGAAGGCGGCACGCCCGGACTCTGCTTCCGCAATCCACCTGAGGGTAGACTCGGGCCACAGAGTCCGAAGGGGAATGTCGGTGCAGACCCAGGGGAGTGTCACAGGGTCCCTCCAGATTCTCCAGAAATGGCAGGTGCGAGACCCTATTGAAAAAAACAATCATTGGCAGGGCGCTCACCGCTGCTTTCATTTGTTGAGGGGGGCGCATCCAAATCGTGAGCAATGCTGGTGATCTTGGTGCGGCTTGCGGAGGGAAGAAAAAATCGGGAAGAGCATACTGAGACCCTCAGCACGCACGGTGATTTGCACGGGAACTTAGGGGGGGTCAGTGGGCTGATGACGGGGGGGCGCGTTTTCCGTTCTTCATCGAGCTACTCACGGCCCAATGGACGGCAGAGCAGCCAAAAGCTCCTCGTCACAGCTCCTCAGCAGTCGAAGTCGCCGCTCTAAAGCCTCGAGATGGCTCGAGGCTCCCGACTGCTCCAGCATCATCTCTTGTGCTCGAGGATCAGGGTCGATGCTGTTCTTGGCGCATGTTTGAGCACAAATTGAGCTGACTTAATGGATTAAAACACAATCACTGCACAACGAAGTCTCAAGCAACCCTTCTACCAATGTGAGGTCATCTACTACCCGTAGTCTTTGTGTGTAAGCCTGGCTGGCGTTGTCACCCGGCGGTCTCGGAAGCACAGAAACAAGCGAAGACGACCAATGCTGAGGAACCCACCAGCATCTTGACCATGTATTCCTTGAACCTGAGCGATTGCAGGCGACCTTACTTCTTGACTGAGCCGCAAAACGTTCGATTGGACCTCTGCAAATCATTGCGCCGCAAAAAGCATTGCAATCAACATAGCAACTGGAAGCCCACGGCCCCAAGAGCCTCTTAGACTGTTGTCCAATCTCTGCCAAGATGTTGCTGTCCCACTCCACAGCATCCTCCAAGTCATTGAAAACAAGTTCACCCTCCCATCCGAACAACGCACGAACTCCACAGAAGCTACCTCTCTCTTCGGCGTCGTGTCCGGTCCTACCGCGAACCGTGTCTCAAATCCGGAAATCGCGTCTGTCCGTCTCGCGAGCACGTCTCTTCGCGTAGCAAGAAACCGTGCGAAGGCCACGGGCTTTCCTTCGGCGTCCAGATGCTCCCGGAAGTGGTTCCGGTACTTCTCCTCGACCTCGACGCCGCCCGCGGAAGGCACCGGTCGGAGCAGAGGGGAACCCGGAGCAGACCGGAGCAAACGGTCGTGTCGGGCAAGAACGTCGTAGGAGAAGAGAAGTCGTTCAGACGGATGTGAAAACGGTTCTGTGGAAGCAAAACGTAGAAGAAATGGCTGGATGGGATGATACATGGGGAAGGAAGGAAGGAAGGAAGGGAGGAAGGAAGGAAGGAAGAAGAAACATACAGGACGGTTCCACACGGTAAAGCTCGACTCTTCTTT